AGTAGGGTGAGGCCAAGGGCTGCAGAGGAAACTCAGATCAATTATTCCGAAAGCCCTAGGGAGGAAGCAGGGGCTGGAGCTCCTGCCAGTGCCTTTTCTGCCCCTCTTTTTGTCTCCTTTACCTTAACTTGGAACAGATTGCTTGAGGTCCCCAGAGGCCAGGGACAACACCCTGAGTTTGGATTTAAGGCATCAGAGCCTGGTGGTGTCCATGGTTGATGAGCAAATTCCCAATAGTGGAGGGAGTCTGCAGTCTCTCCTAGTTTGGGGCAAAATGAAACCATATGATCCCCTTCAAAGAGAGCTCCTTATCCACTGCTTGGTGGAATTTAACCCCCACCCGAACCCAAAAAGAAAAAAGTGCCCATGACCAGAAATAAAATCCCAAGCCTAAGTCACAACACAGATAGAGAATAAACCTACTAAGGGTGCTCTTTGTGAAGATGTAGTTAGGCCACTAACTACATCAGCTGCCCCCCAAATTTTGGAGAAGTTCCCTCTGCTTATTCCTTTGCTGCCTTTTGCCCTCCTGCAGAAGCTGCAGGAGCACTAGGAGGAACCAAGCCTAGGGTCCAGATGGTGATCAGCCGTGCGAGACCCTCCCTGGGAGAGCCTTTCTCTGGGCTTCAGTTAGTTCCCCCTTCGACCCAATGAGGAATTTGGACTAGAGGGTCTCTACCGCGGAGCTGCGTGTTCCCCTGTTGGACCACTCGCAGAGCCTAGCCTGCATGGGAGACCGTGGTCGACCGAGGTGTCCAGCCTGGGTTAGGGGAGAGAAGTAGCAGAAGAGGAAAGTGTTTTCAGGGGACTTGGAACTTTCTGTTTTCGCAGAGCCGGGATTTGTGGCTGTCCTGCGAGCTCAGCAGGGCTGTAAGGAGCAATTACCACACAGCGCAGGACCTCAGTAAGGAAAGCATGACTTCTAAGGAGCCCACCTTGCCTCCCCGTTCCCTACTGCCCAGAAGTCTGGCCTCCAACCCTGTTACTGCAAATCTATGACTTCAAGGCATGCTGGGTAGCTGCTGTGGCCTTAAATCTTGGTTCCGGGTGCGGTGGCACGCTTCTGCCCACAAGGCTCAGTGATTATAAGGGTGTCCGTGGTTGTTCCAGCAGCCCCATGAACCAAAGCCTCAGACAGGACCAAGGCTCGCAGCTCTGGGCCAGGCTGGACGCATTCCCGCTGGGGCCCAGTGCGGGGGCGGGCTCCGACTCCAAAGGGCCTTAATCCTGCTTCAAGGGCGGCGGCGCCAGGTGCAGTTCGGAGCCCCCGGGGCGGGGAGCAGGCTTCCTTCTCAATTCGCTCTGTTTCTGTCGGTACCCCTGCAGACGATTCGGCAGCCGAGACTGGTCAGAGCTTCCTGTTCGATGTGTCCAGCCTTCCAGATGCCGACGAGGTGGTGCGTGCCGAGCTACGCGTGCTGCGCCGCGAATCTTCAGAGCCAGGCCTTGGCAGCGGGACTTCGCCGCCGCTGCTGCTTTTATCCACGTGTCCGGGAGCATCCCGCTCACCAAGCCAGCTGCACTCCCGTGCAGCTGAGCCCCTGGACGGCCGGCGGTGGGAGGTGTTCGACGTGGCTGACGCCGTGCGGCACCACCGCCAGGAGCCCCGCGCCACCCGCGCGCTCTGCCTCTTGCTCCGCGCAGTGGTCGGTCCCGCCCGGAGTCCAATGGCACTGCGGCTGCTGGGCTTCGGCTGGCGGGGCGGAGGCGGCGCTGCGGCTGAGGAGCGCGCGCTGCTAGTCGTCTCCTCCCGCACGCACCGGAAGGAGAGCCTGTTCCGAGAGATACGCGCCCAGGCCCGCGCACTCGGGGCCGCTCTGGTCGCAGAGTCGCCGCCCGACCCGGGACCCGGCAATGGGCCATCGAGGATAGTCATGGGCGGCCGCAGGCGGCGGCGGACGGCGCTGGCTGGGGCGCGGGCCGCGCAGGGCAGCGGCGGGGGCATGGGCCGGGGCCACGGGCGCAGGGGCCGGAGCCGTTGTAGCCGCAAACCGCTCCACGTGGATTTCAAGGAGCTAGGCTGGGATGACTGGATCATCGCGCCGCTGGACTACGAGGCTTACCATTGCGAGGGCGTTTGCGACTTTCCGCTGCGCTCGCACCTCGAGCCCACCAACCACGCCATCATTCAGACGCTGCTCAACTCCATGGCGCCAGACGCGGCGCCGGCTTCCTGCTGCGTGCCCGCACGCCTCAGCCCCATCAGCATCCTTTACATCGACGCCGCCAACAACGTGGTCTACAAGCAGTACGAGGACATGGTGGTGGAGGCCTGCGGCTGCAGGTAGCATGCGGCCCGGGGAAGGGGCAGCCGCGCCGCCAAGGACTCCTGCTGAAGAGCAGCTTCGGGCCGGGTCTGTCACCGAGCCCGGGTGCGCGCCGGACTCTGGCGCCGTGTCTACCTGAAGGAGCGCACAAGTTCACACTCAACACCCACACACTCCTTCACTCACGAACACATATGCAGTGCACAGCAGAAGCCTTGGGGAGAGGGAGACTGCCGCTACTGAATGTCACAGCCATGTGTAGTTTGTAAGCAGATCGCTGTAGCGCCCATTGTCCCCTTTTGGGAGAGGAGGGAGTTTGTGTTTAGTTTCGGTAATCCCCACTAAAACCCGGGTAGAAACGGGTTAAGGCTGGGGGTTCCCCAATGGACGGCCTAAAGGAGCACTGAGTGTTTTTGTCTTCTTTTTGTTTCTGGCCCGGTGGGGGGCGTGGCTCCGCTGGGTGGCTGTGTACCTGGTGTTGCACCCTGGGGCCCCCTGAAGGGGTGCGATGCCCTTCCTAGAGGTTTGTGTTGCTTGAGGCCATTTACTCTCAGAAAGCACCGCTGCAAAAGGTATCCTCTCCCTTTAACTTTTAAAATTTAATGTGGCGGTGCCTCAGTTTTGAAAGGGCAGTTTTGTCTGAAAGAATGTGTGGTGGGAGCGGCCCAGATCCCTGCAAAGGTCAGCACCGCCTTTTTTTTTTTTTTTTTTTTTTTTNGAGAGAGAGAGAGAGAGAGAGAGAGAGAGAGAGAGAGAGAGAGAGAAGAATGGATTCTGCCAAAGAGTCTATGTGGGTTCCTGCACTGCTACATTCTACTGGCACTAAGAAAGGGACACCCATAAATACCTGTTGCCTACTCTCCAAGCTCAGTCCCAAGGGCATGGTGGACCTGGTGATCCCCACACCCACACCCATATCCTTAGATATTCGAATTTCAGCAGCAGGAAAACCTTCAAGTCCATTATGCTGATCTTGGCCAGAGGTCCTCCCTTCCCTGGGATCCTTTCACGCTAATATCAGGCATTTCTCTTCCTCCCACCAGATCAGCCTTGGAGTCTGCAACTATTGACTCTCCAAGTCCCAAACTGAGTGCTGAGTAGTTCAGAGGCCCAGGTTGAGCCGGTGGTACTGTGTCTCTGGCATGGTCTGGATGGCAGTGCCTGAAGAATTCCCTGTTGATGCAAAGGAACTCTGGAGTCTGGACAGCAGTTGGCCCAGGAGATCCCCTGGCTGGGTCTCTTCCATGGGGCAGAGTGGATGGCAGCCAGGCAAGCGTGGGATCCACGCTGCTTTTGCTGAGAAAGAGTCTTGATTACCCAGAGTGATTATGACGCACCACCCTGATCTAATTTCAAGTTCAGTAGCAATAACAATTTTTTATTTTATTTATTTATTTTTATGTGGTGCTGAGGATCGAACCCAGTGCCTTGCACGTGCTAAACCAGCGTTCTACCACTGAGCCAAAACCCCAGCCCAGTAGCAATAGTAATTTTAAAGGAAAAGGACCTTTTTTGGGGGGATCTGTCCCGCCCAGGCCCTCTAGTCCACAATTCATCCAGCTGGACATCCCTGAACTGAGTATTCACGGCGGTGACCTCCCTTCTCTGTGCCTCCCCTCTTCAGGACCCAAGTGTCCTGCCACTCACACGAGTGAGCACTGGGTTTGGCCGTCACTAGGCACCCTCTCCATCCACCCCGGCTGCGTGCCATAGCAGCAGCAGGGAAATGAAGGTTCGGAGCACCACCCCAGTGCTCTGCGCTGCCTGCCCTCCCGGCTTCTGGCCGCGAGAGAACATACCCTTATAGAGTCTCCATTCCGGTCAGACCCTGAAGAAATGTGGCCTCCGGCTCCCCAGAAGGCGGGAGGAAGGTTGCCACTTGGAAGACTCCTTGCATAAGTCCCCGCATCACCGCCCCTCGCCCCGATGCCCCCGTCATTCCCGAAGTCCTGTAAGAGCTTGGCTCCCGCGTTAGCGCAAATTCAGTTCCCAAGATTTTCCTTTCCGACGGTGCATGCCCACCTCATCTGTCTTTCTGGACTGTCCTAGTCACTCGCCTTCTCTTCCTCTCCTACAGGTCCCTTCCCTTGCCCTGGCCTCCGGCTCCGATTGTTGGGGCTATGGCAGGGTAGCGGGCAACTGAACCGGGGATCCAAAAGGAGCCTTTGGGGCTGCCCTGGGCGCCCTTGTGGCCTTTCCGTGAGCCTTGGCCACAGGGTTCGGCGCAAACTGGACGGGAGGGGCCGAACCCTTCCGCGGCCCCACCTCTGGCGTCCCGGGCACTCGCGGCTCACGGAATAGGAGTGGGGAGGGGGCGGGTGTTTCTCCGCGGAGAAGTGGGGAAGAATCTGGGACAGTTCGCGCCACGCCCGTAGCCTGGAACCTAGGAGCGCGCGTTGGTCCCGGGCGCAGCACCCGCCGGGCAGAGTGGGGTCGTCTTGCAGTGGGGAGGAGAGGCGGGGCCCTGGGTAGTGGCGGGAGCCTCGGGCCGGTAACACTCATTTGGCGAGGGTGGTGGAGAAGCGCTGCGGTTGCGGGAGGCGGCTCCTGCCCTGGATCCACAATAGGCCCGAGTTGGGGGCGCAGCGCTGCCAGTAGAGTGTTCAGCAGGGGGCGCTGCTCCGGGCTTTGGGCGGGGGTGGGGTGGGAGAGGAGGGGGGGGCCGCGGCTCGCCGCGCACACTTCCCCCATTATTAAACACTATGTTCAAAAGGCGCCGGGGGACTTCCCGGAGCCACGGAACCCGCGCCGCCCTCCCGACCGGCCCACGGAGTCCATGGACCTGAGCGCCGCCGCCGCACTGTGCCTCTGGCTGCTGAGTGCCTGCCGCCCCCGCGAAGGGCTGGAAGCGGCGGCTGTGCTGCGAGTGGCGGGGGCAGGGCAGACCTGGAGCCCGGGGGGCGGCGGCGCGGACGGACGGACCCTCGCCCCGGCCACGGGCGCCTCGGCTTTCCAGGCCGCGGTGGTTCCGGGGGCCCGAGCGGCGCGGCGCGCCGCGGGCTCCAGCTTCAGGAACGGCTCAGTGGTGCCGCACCACTTCATGATGTCGCTTTACAGGAGTCTGGCCGGGAGGGCTCCCGCTGGGGCAGCCTCCACCTGGGGCCACGACCATGCCGACACAATCACCGGCTTCGTAGACCTGGCGACCCAAGGTACTTACGCCTCTTCTGCGTCAGCCCATCCCGTGCGATCCTGGGCTGAGATCAACCCCGGAGCCATACTCCTGCTCCATTCCATTTGGGGCTGAGGTCCCGCAAGTCCCAGCTTCAGGTGTTAGAGAAAAACTTCGCTGCTGTGGTCAACGCACCCAAACCCGCTGCGTCTGGACTGTGGCGCGAGTCGCTGCAGCTGGTCAGGCCGGCCCCAGAGGGCTGAGCGGGTCCTTCTACTGAGCTGCACTGGCCTTGCCGGCTGGTAGGTCCCCTCGAAGAAAGCAGGCTGAGTCCAAGATCTGCTTCTTGGGGAAGGGTCTAGAGTGGCCTTGGCCAGGACACTTCGGAGAAGAAAGGGAAGGATTGGGACTTTGAGGCTACTGCCAAGAGGGACTGCGCAGCGATGACAGGGGTGGCTGCTTCCCTGGAGCAATCTGCAGCTCCCAATATCATTGGGGGTGCACACATTCGAGGGTTCCATGGGCAGAGGCAGGTATCAAACTGGAGAGACTGGTGGCATATCCAGGTATGAGGAAGGCCTTTCAGCAGGCTGCAGCTGGTGGTAGTGGTTCCAGTGTGGGAAGTGAGTATCTATAGGTGCCTGTGTTCTGTGCTGGTCCCTTGGGAGAGCCAGAGGTCCAGGACTCTGGTTGTGTTGGGAGGGAAGTCGTGCAGGAATGCAGGCCTCTCTGTCCAAGTGCCCCACCTTACCCTCTGCTGGGCCCTCCAAAGGTAAGTGGGTGAGATCCTGTGGTGGTTGCTGTTTGTCATCTGGATTTTATTAATCTCCATTGAAGTCATTAAAGTAGACAGATAGGGAAAATTTAACTAATTTCAGGCGGAAATGCAAGTAATTTTGGCTTTAATTCTGTCCAGCCAGAGACTTAGCAAGGAAGGCAGGAGGGAAAGGCAGGCAACTAGGACTGGATAAGGGCTGCTGTTCTGAGACTTGGGAGCCACTGACAGTCTGCACACCTTAGGCACAGATTGCTTTATTTTGGGTACCTGGAAATCCTGGGACAAAGTGACCCTATAGGACCATTTGAACTGACAAGCTTTGGCTGAGAGCCTGACATAGCCTCTGCACTGGGTACTAGGATTGTAGGATAGAAAACCCCAGTCCTGGGGTACCAGGCGAGGAAGGCAATCACTCCCTCCTGAGGGGAGTGCCCAGGCTGCCGAAGAGGAGGCATTTTTAGGCCCTGAATGAGCAGAAGCACCAGACTTTCTAAAGTCAGGCTAGGTCTACTCTGAAGTAGAGGGAGACAAATCCTTTCCTGGGGAGCTCTGCTTGGCTAGCAAGACCTGAGACCACCTCTTCTCTGCTTCAGGGGAAAATGCAGTGGCAGGGCTGGAAAAGTAGGGTGAGGCCAAGGGCTGCAGAGGAAACTCAGATCAATTATTCCGAAAGCCCTAGGGAGGAAGCAGGGGCTGGAGCTCCTGCCAGTGCCTTTTCTGCCCCTCTTTTTGTCTCCTTTACCTTAACTTGGAACAGATTGCTTGAGGTCCCCAGAGGCCAGGGACAACACCCTGAGTTTGGATTTAAGGCATCAGAGCCTGGTGGTGTCCATGGTTGATGAGCAAATTCCCAATAGTGGAGGGAGTCTGCAGTCTCTCCTAGTTTGGGGCAAAATGAAACCATATGATCCCCTTCAAAGAGAGCTCCTTATCCACTGCTTGGTGGAATTTAACCCCCACCCGAACCCAAAAAGAAAAAAGTGCCCATGACCAGAAATAAAATCCCAAGCCTAAGTCACAACACAGATAGAGAATAAACCTACTAAGGGTGCTCTTTGTGAAGATGTAGTTAGGCCACTAACTACATCAGCTGCCCCCCAAATTTTGGAGAAGTTCCCTCTGCTTATTCCTTTGCTGCCTTTTGCCCTCCTGCAGAAGCTGCAGGAGCACTAGGAGGAACCAAGCCTAGGGTCCAGATGGTGATCAGCCGTGCGAGACCCTCCCTGGGAGAGCCTTTCTCTGGGCTTCAGTTAGTTCCCCCTTCGACCCAATGAGGAATTTGGACTAGAGGGTCTCTACCGCGGAGCTGCGTGTTCCCCTGTTGGACCACTCGCAGAGCCTAGCCTGCATGGGAGACCGTGGTCGACCGAGGTGTCCAGCCTGGGTTAGGGGAGAGAAGTAGCAGAAGAGGAAAGTGTTTTCAGGGGACTTGGAACTTTCTGTTTTCGCAGAGCCGGGATTTGTGGCTGTCCTGCGAGCTCAGCAGGGCTGTAAGGAGCAATTACCACACAGCGCAGGACCTCAGTAAGGAAAGCATGACTTCTAAGGAGCCCACCTTGCCTCCCCGTTCCCTACTGCCCAGAAGTCTGGCCTCCAACCCTGTTACTGCAAATCTATGACTTCAAGGCATGCTGGGTAGCTGCTGTGGCCTTAAATCTTGGTTCCGGGTGCGGTGGCACGCTTCTGCCCACAAGGCTCAGTGATTATAAGGGTGTCCGTGGTTGTTCCAGCAGCCCCATGAACCAAAGCCTCAGACAGGACCAAGGCTCGCAGCTCTGGGCCAGGCTGGACGCATTCCCGCTGGGGCCCAGTGCGGGGGCGGGCTCCGACTCCAAAGGGCCTTAATCCTGCTTCAAGGGCGGCGGCGCCAGGTGCAGTTCGGAGCCCCCGGGGCGGGGAGCAGGCTTCCTTCTCAATTCGCTCTGTTTCTGTCGGTACCCCTGCAGACGATTCGGCAGCCGAGACTGGTCAGAGCTTCCTGTTCGATGTGTCCAGCCTTCCAGATGCCGACGAGGTGGTGCGTGCCGAGCTACGCGTGCTGCGCCGCGAATCTTCAGAGCCAGGCCTTGGCAGCGGGACTTCGCCGCCGCTGCTGCTTTTATCCACGTGTCCGGGAGCATCCCGCTCACCAAGCCAGCTGCACTCCCGTGCAGCTGAGCCCCTGGACGGCCGGCGGTGGGAGGTGTTCGACGTGGCTGACGCCGTGCGGCACCACCGCCAGGAGCCCCGCGCCACCCGCGCGCTCTGCCTCTTGCTCCGCGCAGTGGTCGGTCCCGCCCGGAGTCCAATGGCACTGCGGCTGCTGGGCTTCGGCTGGCGGGGCGGAGGCGGCGCTGCGGCTGAGGAGCGCGCGCTGCTAGTCGTCTCCTCCCGCACGCACCGGAAGGAGAGCCTGTTCCGAGAGATACGCGCCCAGGCCCGCGCACTCGGGGCCGCTCTGGTCGCAGAGTCGCCGCCCGACCCGGGACCCGGCAATGGGCCATCGAGGATAGTCATGGGCGGCCGCAGGCGGCGGCGGACGGCGCTGGCTGGGGCGCGGGCCGCGCAGGGCAGCGGCGGGGGCATGGGCCGGGGCCACGGGCGCAGGGGCCGGAGCCGTTGTAGCCGCAAACCGCTCCACGTGGATTTCAAGGAGCTAGGCTGGGATGACTGGATCATCGCGCCGCTGGACTACGAGGCTTACCATTGCGAGGGCGTTTGCGACTTTCCGCTGCGCTCGCACCTCGAGCCCACCAACCACGCCATCATTCAGACGCTGCTCAACTCCATGGCGCCAGACGCGGCGCCGGCTTCCTGCTGCGTGCCCGCACGCCTCAGCCCCATCAGCATCCTTTACATCGACGCCGCCAACAACGTGGTCTACAAGCAGTACGAGGACATGGTGGTGGAGGCCTGCGGCTGCAGGTAGCATGCGGCCCGGGGAAGGGGCAGCCGCGCCGCCAAGGACTCCTGCTGAAGAGCAGCTTCGGGCCGGGTCTGTCACCGAGCCCGGGTGCGCGCCGGACTCTGGCGCCGTGTCTACCTGAAGGAGCGCACAAGTTCACACTCAACACCCACACACTCCTTCACTCACGAACACATATGCAGTGCACAGCAGAAGCCTTGGGGAGAGGGAGACTGCCGCTACTGAATGTCACAGCCATGTGTAGTTTGTAAGCAGATCGCTGTAGCGCCCATTGTCCCCTTTTGGGAGAGGAGGGAGTTTGTGTTTAGTTTCGGTAATCCCCACTAAAACCCGGGTAGAAACGGGTTAAGGCTGGGGGTTCCCCAATGGACGGCCTAAAGGAGCACTGAGTGTTTTTGTCTTCTTTTTGTTTCTGGCCCGGTGGGGGGCGTGGCTCCGCTGGGTGGCTGTGTACCTGGTGTTGCACCCTGGGGCCCCCTGAAGGGGTGCGATGCCCTTCCTAGAGGTTTGTGTTGCTTGAGGCCATTTACTCTCAGAAAGCACCGCTGCAAAAGGTATCCTCTCCCTTTAACTTTTAAAATTTAATGTGGCGGTGCCTCAGTTTTGAAAGGGCAGTTTTGTCTGAAAGAATGTGTGGTGGGAGCGGCCCAGATCCCTGCAAAGGTCAGCACCGCCTTTTTTTTTTTTTTTTTTTTTTTTAATCAATTCCAATTGAGTGTGATTTAGAAAGTGGAAAGACTTTTTCTCTTTGGGGGAAAATGAAACAGGGGAGAGGTTCTAAACTGCAAAGTCGAAGCCCATGTGACAATGGGAGGGGTGAGATGGGATGTGTCAGGTTTGGAGACTCTGCACCTACTCAGAAGGAGGCAGTAGCAGTGTCTTAGGGCCATTGAGAAAGCGGGGACAGCTGCTGCTCTTCCAAGAGACGTTCCAGGAGGGTTTCCTAAGAAGTTGGCGAAGATGTTGTCAGGGCTTGAGCTTCCTGGGGCCTGCTCTAGCGGAGGACGATGGTTTGTCTGCCAAGCAGGCGCAGCCCCCTTCAAATAGCATAACCAGAGTGGGCCGGGGTGTCCTGGCGCTTAATGATCCAGCCTGCGTGGACTTACACATGCTTTCTCGGTGTTGCTGAAGTTTTTGGCAGGGTGATAGGAACGGGAAGTGAAGCCACACAAAAGTGCTTTTGTCATACTTAAACTCACAGCCCAGACCTTCAGAGCAGGAGGAAGGTCACCTCCTCTGCTCCTTGCTTGGTTCCCCTGTGGTTCCTTCTGGAAGGCAGGGCCTTGGTGTGGGCCCAGCAGAGGTGCCAGATTGTCTCCTGGTTCCCGAATTTTGCCTAGAAGAGTTATTGATGGTAGGATGTTTTTTATGTAAAAGTGAGCCCAACATGCCAGCCTTCATTGGGTCTGTAATTTGTTCATGCCCAGAAGTTCTTTGTGTCTTTTTGTCAATGGTCAGGAGAGAAAGAGAAGCTGGCCTCCACTTGCCAGGGGCTCCCAGGGCTGCTTTGGAACACCTGGATTCCTCCTGATACTGTTGTTTAACGTTGTGCTGGCTTTCCTTTTTAGGGGCCTTGGTTAGGCATTAATTCTGCTCTTGTCTTGGATGCTCTTGTCCAGGAAAGTTTATATACATTTTAATTCTTAGTGGTTCTATTTTACTCTCTTGATGAAGAGGAAAGACTAACAAATTAGATATCACTGATTTAGTTAAAGGTCCCACCTGCATCCTTTTTATTCTGTAAAATTCCCCCCAAGGGGGAAAACCCACATATAACTTATTCTTAAAATTAAGATTGTTCCCCTCTTGCAATGTGAATTTACATGCTGCGACAGTGTGCATAGCCATAAATAACCAGAAAATACAAAGTTTCTTCAGATTAAAAAAAAAAAAAAAGTCAGAAGTGGCCACTCTGGTACAATTGCATTTTATCTTTTTGACTAGCAAATATGGTGCCCAGATTTATGGATTTTTTCCAGGGAAACTTTCCTCTTTTGTTTTAAATGATAATTTTAATAGTGATTTCTCTTATACCTTTCATTATGAAGATTAAAAAATTGCACAAAAGTATAACAGGTTATAGTATTAGAAGATTTAGAAAGGAAGGTAATAAAAAATCACATTTCAATATTATTTTGAGGAAATTTTAGGGTGTTTAATATCTTTGGACAAAAGCAAACATTTTGATACCTTTTTTAGTGACTAGGAAAAAAAAATCTTTGGGGTAAGAAATGTCTTAATGTAACCTGTGCTTTTTATGGTAGGGAAAAAGGTGTCCATCTCCTCTGTCTTCTTGCTGCTGACCTCCTTCTAACAGCATGTGTCTGGGGTGATGTAGGAAGTCAGTGTCTCCTTGGGTCTTTCCAGACTGCACCATGGGGAGAGGTGTTGTCCTTAGACAGCACGGTTCTTTCCATGGCCTCTGAGGCCCCAGGGTGCTCCTTGGTTTACTGATAGAGGGAATGTCTGCTGGGTCTCTCCTGAAGCTCTGTGGAATCACCATGGTTCAGGGTGCCCACCAGTCTTCAGCTCTGCCCAGCCTTCTGTCTCCTCAGAGTCCACTCTCTAGAGGTTGTATTTCCCTGTGTACAAATGACAGTAAAAGGGCCACCATATGTGGGGTGGCCAGTTTTCTGCTGCTAGGATGTGGTTAAATTAGCTTTGCCAAGATGTGGAGAAAAGCATTCTGTTAGTGCATTTGGGAGCACCCTGTGCCATCTGTCCTGTAGGTGGTGGGGAATAGGCTGGGTCACCAGCATAAAACCCAGTTGCTCTGCTTGAGTCCCCAGCTGGAATCTCCAGACATCACTGTGGGGAACTGGGATCAAGTGTGTCAGAACCATGAATGAAAGTTCTCCTCTCCATCTGAAGTCACCAAAGTGTCCTTACTAAAGTAAACAGAATTTTCCACTTTGTTGGGGGAAAATTGTGCACTGCTAGTTGAGATCATTTGTGCAACTATTTCTTGTGGATGAACAGGGTCTGACATCCTTGCTCAGGGAGCCAGGGGTGCTGCTGCTGGGTCTGCCAAACACCAAGACAAGTCTGGTTTTTAAAACCAAAATTTTTGTATTAAGGGAGACCCCTGTATTGGCAGGTGAACACTTCCACTGCTGATTTTATGGAATTCAGGCTTTCCAAGGGAGCTGGACTGGGTCTTGTGGAGGTGGCAGGCTTTTGGTCTTAGCCTGGGGAAGCCAGGATAGAGCTGTGCTCATTTGTTACACAGGATAATTTCCTGGCATTTGAGTGCTTCAGAGGAAGAGAAAGAGAAGAGGTATAGATTGCATGAGGGTAAAAACCCCTGGAAGGCTTGTGAGGAGATTCTCCCCTGACAGAACACATGGTGTACACAAGGGCAGAAGCTTGGCCTTGTGTCCTGAGGAGGGTTCTGTAACCCTGTGGAAGGAGCAGGGAGCAATCCAAGTCCTACAAGTTCTTATCCTGTCAGCGGTCTCACTCTACTCATAGCAGAAAATAACTGGGACCGATTTTCTTCTTAAAGCAGAGCAAAGCTTAAAGGGAGCAAAACTGAACTCTTTCCAAGAGCAGCTTGTGCACAGAGCTCTCCCCTTGCTTGAGTCTGGTCTCCTGAAAACTGAGTGTAAGAAAGAAAAAGCTTTGCAGCTGTCCCAGGGCTTTGCTAGTTCTCCAGAGAACCCATCCCCTCAGGATACAGACCTCCCCCAATGGCTTAGGGCCAGATGGCCTAGGCAGGTGGACTGAGGGAACCAGGCTTTGAAAGCAGCAGTCTGTCCAGGGAGTGGAGGACCTGCTTTTGCCCCTCAGGAAGTGTCTGGATTGGGAAGGGAAGAGAGGACGTGGAGCAGTGAATCCAGCAGTTATAGAACTTTGGGAGTGAGTAGGAAGTCACCAGACCCCTGTGGGGGCCAGCATGTCCAAGTGGTGCTAGAGTCAGGGCCCACTATGGGCTTCTGCACCCCAGAAGTCAACTATCTCCGCAGTATGGCCTGTGTCTGCCTGATAGGAAGATACTCCAACACTAGGGATCTATAGGGTATCTCCTGAGAGGCCTGAGGCAAGTCATGGGCAGTCACCTCTGCTTGAGCTTCAACTTCTGCCCCTTAAAATGAGGACCTCTGGGCTGGAGATGTGGCCCAGTGGTAGAGTGCTTGCTTAGCACGTGTCAGGCCCTGGGAGGGTGGAGGAAGGACCTCTCCAGCCCAGAGAGCCTAGATTGTACGTCCAAAAATCCTATTCAGATGATTCCAAGGTATAGCAAATGCTAATACTCCTGGAAAAGGTTTCCTCCTGACCCCAATTATAGAGCCACATCTCACAAGTTTCACAGCTCTTCCTGGTGCCTGTGAGTGTATGCCCTCTTTCCCAACTCCTAGCCTCTGTGGGTACTTCACAGATGTTGCTTCAATTTCTACCTGGGGCAAAGCAGGTGCAGGGGAGGCCAGGACCTCAGGGTAGGGCCCGGCTTCCCCCAGACTGATAGCTTTCTTGTGCCCCCTGGTTGAGGGGCACTGCTAACCCACTTGAATAGCACCTGTGCCACATAAGGTGGGTTGGATCACAGACAGAGAACTGGAAAAATGCTCCAACTAGCTATAGGTGCCTCTGTTGGGGGAGTAGAGGGAAGGGTTGGGAAGTGGGGAGAGGATGTGGACCAGTGAAACCAGTAGTGAAAAAACTTTAGGAGTGAGTGGAAAGTCACCATATCTATGTGTGGACTGGAACGTCTAAGTGCCAGAGTCAGTGACCATGGTGGGTGTGACAGCCCAAACAGATGCCTGGGACTGTCCTAGAGTCCCTGGGCAAGGCAATAGTCTTGTCTTGGGGTGGGCTGTTCCCTACCTGGCCCTACTCCATCTTCATACACCTCACTGTCATGCTTGTCTGCCTCTAAAGTCCCTCTTCATCTTTCTAGGGGGGTGACTCTGGGGGCAGGTGGCAGAAGACCTTTTCATGACCTGGAAGGTGGTGGTGGAGTTGAACTTGAGGAGCACTAGGAGGAAGGAGGTGTCAGAAAGATTGTCTTTTTTTTTTTTTTTTCGGTCTTTCCACAATGTCA